TTGTCATATGCTGTATCTTTTTGGTTCTGATTGTGTGATTTTTGTTGTCTGTTTATTATTCTACTGACTTGGGTTGATTTTTTCTTCTCTCTTTGAGTTCAAGAATTATGAGAAGTATGAGATATTCTAAATATTTGTTTTGGACTTGGGGGGTAATAATCTTGCGTTCTTCCCGAATATTGTTCTCTTGTTCAGTTGTTTTTGTGTGTATATTTCTCTTGGGAGCTGAGTCATCTGATTAAAGTAATTCATGAGGAGCTGCTTTATTCAATTTTTGTCCAACAAAGTCTGTTTGTCGCCATTTTATTTCAGTGGTAGGAATGATGCTTAAGAAGATACTGAACATATGCTTCTTAATTTCTCGCTCAATATTAAAAAAATTTAGTGCATATTACTGTCTGTGTGTGACATTGGAGCTTGGACAACATATTTTCCATATTTGGTGTTGAAGCAGCTAAAGATGTGATTGAAACCTTATTTACGTAGTCGCAAAGTCTTACCTTGTCTGAAATCTTTAGGGCAACACAATAATGCTCTTTCTGCCAAAAAAAAAAGATTCACAATCTGTCTGAATTTTATTTGAGAGTATTCAATTTTGATGCTATTAGTTTGCTAGTGAGGATGTCTTTGAATTGATTGACCTAAATTTTCATATGTCCTCTGTTGCTGCTTGCTTGAAAACATAATTAAACCCTTAAACTACTTTTGATGTGCAGGAATCAACTCAAGAGGGTGGTCAAAGGAAACGTTTGCGTAGTTAGCTTCCATAAGATTGACCTATTGTGGTCTCCTGTAACTTAAACATTGAGCTTCCAAAAATATTGTTTCATTTTTCTTCATATTAACTTTAGCCTGCCAGACCAAGTGTATATGTTTGGTTAACTTTTTCTTCCAAGATTGTCTGGTAAAAGGAAAAGGAAGAAAAAATATAAATATATGAACAGATTTAACCTTTGCAGCTTTTCATGGTACTATGAAGGATTCTTAAATCAGCCTTTCTTTCTTTCTTTCTTTCTTTCTTTCTCTATTTCGTAATGATTAGTACTATAACATATTTCTGCTAAATTCATGAATAAGTCGTTAGCTCCGAGGGATGAGGATGTGGGGGTTGGGGCATAATTGTCTTTTCAGAATCTGCAGGAAGCTGCAATCAAACTATGTACGTGCAGAAAGCTTCTTGATCCAGGTGAGGACTTTTGCAGAAGTTGGAGAAAAAGAGCTGTATCTTGCTGATACTAAAAAACATTTAGTTTTATTTTGTTCTCTTATGTTTTGTATTTGAGATTCGACCTTTTATTAATATTAATATATGAAAGCAATGGACCTTGATGTAACAATGCAGCATGTTTGTCAGGATCTATATTGCTATTCTTCAGTTT